TACCTCCATACTTTGTACAATTTTTTGAGAGGCATAGTATTAATAAAAGTGTACAAATATGGCTCCTGGTTGATTTATTAAAAACAACAAAAATTTAGATACTTGCACTGAATTATGATCATTACTATACATCGTACTCAGCAGTAAACTTTAGTAAATTAATAAATATTATGTTGAAAAACATTTATAATGATCTTAATAATTTAGTGCTTCACTAAAAAATATACTCTAATTACTAATCATTAATTAAGAAATCGCACTTTTTATACATAAGGATGGACGGAAACGTGAAAGAGAATAACAAGATGGGAATTGGAACCTTTACCAACAAAGCGAAAGTTCAAATCAGCGGCGGAGCCAGAATTTAAACTTTTGTAATCCTTCTAAGTTATTAGGTTTTAAATTAATAAATTGTACGTTTTAATGGATTTGTTAAGACAAATACATGGTTTGAACAAAAGTTACTGCGTTCGACCGATCCCACATCCCGCACTCTACTTCCGCCCCTTCAAGTAACCTACCAACCAACCGGTATTAAAATTCTCCAATAAAGCGTAGGGTGAAAAACACGTAATTTGGTGCATATATAAATGCGTTATTGGAGGAGTAGTATACAAATTGGAGATCAATATTCATGGTCCAGACCCAAGTTGTCAATATCGAAAAGACGAAAAGGCCAAAAACGACAGGGCTCTACGTGTCGTTAATATGTTTTGTCAAGAGCCTTCGTATTTCAAAAGCGGAGAGAAAACAAATTACAGTCCACAACTATCTCCTTCTATTCTGCTCTGTCCTCTGCTTGTCTTCTACAAAATCAACAATGTCAATGATTCTCATTCAATAAAAAATGAGACATAAATAAGTACTTAATATGTTTATGTAACACGTATTCATCTCGCAGACTGCGCATTGCTTTTAAAATTAATAGTCACGTTAAGATAATAGTATATAGTTTCCCCCTCCAGAAAAAAGAATAGAAAGAAGATATGCTAGCTAGTAATACTAGTTAGTTATCTTTTGATTTTTTGGTACATGACATCTGTTCTTTGTTGTTTTGTTTAATAGGTTGATCCCTTATTTTAATAGGTTGAATTTGACAAAAACTGGAATATGCATAAGTTACATACGAGTACTCCAAAGGAATTGGACAATTGGCACTCAAGCCATGGGCCAACTCCTAAGCCTGAAAGAATATAAAAATCTGGGACTCCCGAAATTAACCCTATTTTTAAGACTATTTTAATTGATCTCCACAGAAGTTTCGGGAGTTCAATAGCTTGTTTGACTAAGTTTTTTTCTTGGTCAAAAGTATTTTTTTATTTTTATCGAAATTAAAATATATGTTTTTCATAGTTAAGGTGTTTGGCCAAAATTTATTGAAGGAAAAAAAATACTTTTAAGTAGAAGTAGAAGTAGTTTTTGAGAAATAAAAAAATAGCTTCTCCCTATAAATATTTTTTTGAAAAGCATTTTTGAGAAAAATACAGTTAGAAGAACCTTTTAATAGTTTGGCCAAACACTAATTTCTGCTCAAAAGTGCTTTTCAAATTTTTTTTTTCTTTTCAAATTGATTAGCCAAACATAAATTGCTTCTCACCAAAAGTCCTTTTTTTAAAAGCACTTCTCAAAATAAACAGATTTTTCCAACTTGGCCAAACAGGCTACAAAATAGAAAGAAAAAAAAAGGGGGACATTTTCTGAATTCTCTTACACCACCCAACCACCACCAAATGAACAACTGTCAAAAGAAAAGCCCAATAAGCAAATGAGGCAAAAATACATGGGAGTTTTTAAAAAGGAAAATACCAGCTATGTCCATTTATAAGTAGCTTATTATAAAAATTGGCAAGTTCATAAAATATTACTAATATTAGCCAAATAACTATTTGTAAGCAAAAAGGTTAATTTTTTGCTTTCTTATGAGTGTGTGTTATTAGAATAGATTGGGCACATTTTAAGGAAATTGAATCTCAGTTTTGGGATGATTTGATGGAGTTTTGAGGTGGTTTGAATTGAAAATTCGAAGTAGAAAATGAACATGAAAAAATAATAGGTGTATCGCACTATGTATCACATATGTATAATATTTGTATCAAATGTTTATCACATGTATATCCATGTATACCTGCTGTGAGATACATGCGTGATACATGTTTGATACATATGTCGTAGAAGAATTTTTTGAACTCGATTTTAACTACGAATTTTGATACCAAATCAGCCCAAATCACCTCAAATCTTCCTCAAAATTTGTATATTGACTCATTTATATGTTTTCAATGAATCTCAACCATACCCACTGAAAAAAAATCCCTTTTTTTCTTAAATTTTTGGAATCTTATATATATATATATATATATAT